CTCCTCACACTGCTTGCCAACCAGGTCCCCAACTGGGTCCACAGAAGTCCTTCTTTTTTTTTTTAATTTTGAGTTTTGTTCCACATTTTCTCTCACTCTATCTGGGATGCTCTAAAGTGATCCCTTTCAGAGAAGTTGGTAGTGGTAGCTGGGCACCATCTAGTTCTTCTGGTTTCAGAGTCATGGAGACTGATATTTGCATATTCTATTAGTTCATTGAACTAATTGATTCCAAGTCTCTTTAATTTGTACCACTCTTCTTTCGCACATGGAGAGACCGATAGCTGCACCTTAGATGGCCACTCATGAGCTTTCAAGATCCCAGATGCTACTCATCCAAATAGGATGTAGAATATTATATTTGTGGACTGTGTTATGCCAATTAATCATGGTGTCCTCTGAGACTATGGCCTTGTCCCTGAGGCCCAGTAACTCATTATCTTCAGATGTTTGATAATATCTAGGAAGTTTTCATCATTTTGGCCGCTGCACTCATAACATGAATAGTTGTGTTTACAGGAAAGGTAAATATTCATGTACAAATATCCTCTTTCAAACTCTTACATATTCGTGGGATATAAAGATCTCTATATATATATCACTCTTCCTCTCTTACCCATTCATCCTATGTCTCAATCCATTTATCTGTACACAGAACACTGTTGTTCCAAGGTTGTAGATATATCACTCTCTACCTCTCTCCCCTTTAGCCCATGTATACCTTCCTGTGTCTTCACCTATCTTCATTCTTCTGCCAACCTCCCTCTTCTTGTATATTACCCTTTCCTTCCTTGTATATCGTCCTCCCCATCAACAACATGTGTCTATCCTGTAGCTAGTGATTTACTCTCTTTTCCCTCCCATCCCTGGAACCATTAAAGAATGTTTTAGTATGAAAATTTTTACTTAAGTTTTTACAATAGTGGTCTCATACAATATTTGTCCTTTTGTGACTGACTAATTTCACTCAGCATAATGTCCTCCAGGTTCTTCGATGTTAAGAGGTATTTCGTAGATCCATCATTATTTTTCAAGGTTGCATACTATTTCAATGTGTGTATGTACCAAAGTTTGCTTATCCATTCTTCCATTGATGGACACTTAGGCTGTCTCCATCTTTTTGCTGTTGTGAATGGTGAACATTCATGTGCCTATATCTACTTATGTCCTGGCTTATATTTCTTGTGGATATATTTTAAGTAGAGGGACTGCTGAGTATTTCTATTTCCAACTTTCATAGGCAGCACCATACCATTTTCCAGAGTGATTGAACCATTTTACAGTCCAACCAGCAATGTAGGAGGGTCCTAGACTCTCCATACCTTGCCAGCATTTGTTGTTCTCGATTTTTTAACTTTGCTGTTAATGTTGGTGTGAGATAATGTCTCATTGTTGTTTTGATTTGCATCTCTCTAAACAACAACAGCAACAATGGTTAAAGATTGTGAACACTTCTTCATATGTTTGTAGGCTGCCTGAATTTCTTCCTTGATGAAGTGTCTGTTCATGTTCTATACCCATTTTTAAATTCAGTTGCTTGTCTTTTTCTTTTTCTTCAAAGTTTTATTGTGAATTATGTGATAGTTTACATGGGTACATGGGAGAACATTAGTTTTACATTCATCCTATCATTTATTGTTTCATTGCCATGGTTACAATTTGTGTTTTTCTTGTAGAGGTGTTGTAGTTTTCAATAACTTTTAGAGATTAGTCCCTTGTCTGATATGTTATTGCAAAAAAAAATTTCCCAATCTATGAGCTCCATGCTTACTCTTTTGGTGAAATCTTCCAATGCATGTAAAGTGTCTACTTTTTAGGAGGTCCCAGTCATTTATTTTGTCTTCTACTGTTTGTGTGT